GAAAGTTGTTGAGAAAAAGATGAAGAGGGTGTTCCCCCAGAAGAACCACCACCAGCATCACCTGTATTAACAAAATTTACGGAAGAATCAGTATTAGATTTTCTACTTAGAACGAGAGCCCAGAAATCGTGGGCCACTGCTTTTAGTGCGCTTGGAGACTGACATCTGAGTGCCAGATGTCTGTGAAGATAAAGATGATAATGTGTCAGGGTCATAGCCCTTACCATCTTGTCTTGAATTGTATTGTGATTGTAATGTCTTCCTTATATAGTAAAGCGCTGCGCTATATAAATCCTATATAATAGGAATTGTATAGGTCCTAGGACCAGATTACTAATATTGTGCCCATTTATATGCATGGCCCGTGTTTTATGCTGCATAATCCCTCACAAATTTTTGTTCCTTCTCACTAATGATTTGTGTGGTGAATTGTTCAATATGCATTGTTTCATACACATGTTCCAGAGAACGTGTGGCTTCACAAACAGTTTTATTGGAGTTAGCGTCCACTAATAGCTGCATCAATAGATAAGACTTCCTTAGCATAATAACATGTCTAGCATGTAGTTCTGCTCCCATCTGTCTCTTAGGTCTTTAACAACATGGGCAATGGTAGGAAAGATCTGAATTCGTAATCCCCATGGGAACACATTACATGAGTGTATTTTTCAAAGTATTTCACATGCCAATAGACTAAGGATATCTTCTCTAATAAGTCTAAATGACATATTCCTGGCTTCTGCATCCAATGAGTTTTTATTCAGACAGCTTAATTGTTTCTGGCACGTGTCCCAAGCTTATCCACAATAATCAGCCATTATATGTGTCAATTAAGATACAAATTACCGAGACTTGCATATCCAAAAATAAAACAATACTATATGGAAAAGGACAACAGAAACAGCAACCCTCAACTGTTTTTTTTTTTTTATTTTTTGTTTAGAAAAGGTGTCTACCACCCAACAAAATGAACATAGCTATTGTTTAGTTTACGGATTTGTATTGATATAGTAGTCCATCATAGGAGTGAGTTTGCGGTGTTGGCTTCTTTACAACACCCACCGGGACCATGGGGAACAGAAGGAGCCACCCTACAGAAGGAAGGACAGTGTCAGCACCAATTCCGAGATGATTTAAGGATCTACAGCCGAGTGATACACAAATAAGATACATTTTTGTTAATAGTAAAAGGCATTTTTAAGATTTAATGCCTGAGTTTAGTGTTACTTAAATGTTCAAATCAGTGAAATTGCTACAAAGCCCTTCCAATGAAAGCCATTAATTTTTTGGTATAGCTCCAGAGAGATCCATGGCTTCTACAAAAAGTACAGAGAGCCTCCCAATTTTACCTTTAATCATATCCTCTTCCCTTGGTGGTACTTTTGTCTTTATTTTATTACTTACCTTTTACATATGCATAGTTGACTATATTCTCAGGTCCCATGGTGGGATGAATTCCACGTGTAGATGTTATGCCATTCTGGAGCCAGAAAGACCAAGGGTCGATGTCAGAACCAACAAGGGAATTTGCAGATGTTGATTACCAGGGGAGAGAGTAGTATTGTGCAGCATGGCCTCACCTTAAGTGCCTGATGTCCTCTCTTTTTCCCTCAAACATTGCAGCTAACTTGAGCCCTGTTCAAGACCTCACAGCACACTGAAAATCAAGGGCTAAGGGTGAGCCTGGGCAGTTTACGATCAGAGACCACAAAATGTATCCACCTATTGAAGGCATGTTATAATGACACAAGTGTTGCCCTGCCGTTTACGTGACTTAAAGCCAGCTCTTCTAGAGAGCACAGCGACTATGGGGAACATAGTTCAGTCAAGCCTTGTGGTGGAGCACTTTCAAGGCTATCCATGCACAGCTACAGCTAGTCTAGTGAAACACAAGAGCAATTAGGATAAGGGGATACCTTATAAATTGAGTTACTGGTTTTAATTGGAGTTCAGCTTTGATCCGACAGCTCAACAAATGTTTAACTCCAGGCAAACCACTAAACAGATGAAACTCAAACCAGACCTTTTTCCAGCCATGGGATTTGCATTTCTGTCCATCCAGTCCCAAGCTTTACTTCTGCCTGGCAGAGCAGGAGACCTGACTTTTCTGCAGATTAGTCACATGCTGGGGGGTGGGGAGCAGACCCTTAAGTGTTACTGAACAGTGAAACCGCAGACCAAAAAGTTCACGAGTCACTTCGCTCTAGTCCTACCAACATGCTCCTTGTGCCGCTTCTCCCTCTCCCAGGCTGTGCAGTGGACTGCAAGAGGTCGCAAGGTCAAATTCAGGTACTTAGTACAGCTTGCATTAGATAAAATATATGGATGTAATACAAAATTAAATTCCAACCAAAACTGTTCAGTTTTCTGGAGGTTTCTTTTTCGTTTGTGTTACTGGTACATGGGTCCCCACTGATTTATCCCAACTTCATATCCTGGTGCAGGTAGTTATCAGAAGTGAAAAGGTAATGCTCGCCAAGGATATAAATAAAAACTGGAGTCCAAGCACCTCTGCTCTACTGCAGGGGGGTGGGGAGATTACCTTCTGTGCAAGTGTTCCGTCCCCATTTCCTGTTCCAGTGATCATCAATAATGTGGCAAGGTCATCTGCACCCCTCCCCTGATCTATACAGTAAAATCCTGAGAATTCTAACATTTCCCAACAGTTTCCTAAACCATATAGAATGGGACACATCTGAATCCAATTGATAACCACATCCGTTTACCATTAAATCCATGTTTAAGCCCAATAGCAACCCATTCACACAGATGTTTTGGGATACCGGTGGCAAGAACCTACAGATTAGTGGTTGGTGACAGCAGCTGCATATAAAATTGTATATAGCCTTACACAGCTGCCACATCTTAATTCAACATCTGGGATTCCTGCCTCAAGAATTCCAAAATGCCCTATCTGAATGCAGCCTTCAAGCTCAACTGAACCTTCAATTCAAAATAAACTATATAAATTTAATTTGCATCAAAACAAAAGTGCTCAAATGTGTTCATTTTCTTTCTAAATCAGCTGAGTGGGACCCTTGCTCTTGTGGGTAAGCAGCAGTCTCAATCCAGAGGTCTGACGCCCCCCTACTGAGTCAGACATGTAGCTCTGCAATCACAGCCAATGCAAGAGTGCAAGGGTATCAAATCTGCAGTATGCTGCCAGAAGGGTTCGCCATCAAGGCTGTGACCAATTCTTAAGAAAAAAAACAAAACAAACAAACCTTTTGCCTTGATGCACCTAAATTTAATTTAGCTTATTTAAAAATTAAGTTTAACCCACAACAGCCAATTATGGTGCCATTTTAGATCACTCAGCATGTTTGTGTGCTTGTAGGTAACCGCTTCCCATTAGGCCAATTTGAAAACCCACTGGATTTTCTACTGTCACTTGGAGGAACATCTATTGAGTCAATGTTAAGAGCCCTGCTGCTATGAAGCAGAGATTGTCACTTACTGTTGCAGTAACCTTTAAGTCAGGGCTTTTTGTGATGTGTTACCTGCATGGCAGGGAGAACACCCTACAAAATTCTTTAGGGGTCAGCAGGGAATGTGCGGCCAGTGAAAAGATTTTGGTCACAGGACCTAAAAACATTGTGATGGGTTGCTGCATGCAGGTAACCAAGGCAGGGTTGGTAGTTTACTTTAGGTTAGGATGGCTAGGCACACAGGAAGACGACATTTTATAAAAATGTTTAAAAAAAATTCCTGCTACAAAGTACTCATTTTTGATATGTTAGATGGATTTCTCACAACCAGATTTTTTTAAAAGTTTTATTATAAATCTCACACTGGACACATTGCAGTGAATGTCACAAAATTACATTTTATAAACATAAAATTAGGGGGAACATAAAATCACTGTATACACAGATGGGAGGTAAGGGATCACAGAGGGAAGAAAATAAAAAGGGGGAACCAGATGCTATTTACATCAAGACACAAGTGTGTCCTGTACACAAAGTCCTCTTAAGAGAAATTTGTAACTCCCAGTCTGGATGAAAGCCTCCTGCAGCCGATCCTTGGCCATAGCTACCTATAAGACAGACATGTGTTAGTTTCTTGGCAAGTTTAGCATTTCACAACCCATTTAAATTCCTCTAAGAAAAATCATATGCACATTCATATTCTTTGCTAGGCATTCAACCCCCAATTAACTTCAAAGTATTTTAAAAAAAAAAAAAAAAAAAAAAAAAGGGACATTTAATTATGTGCATATGACCATAGAAACATTTCACCCTCCAGTTAATTAAGTCCTCTGCAGATTTCACTATTAGCTATAAAGAAAGGAAGTTAACATTAAATCCTAAAAAATAAACAAAAATCGGGATACAATCACTTAAACAAAAGCCAATATTAAACTGTAAATTCATTTACTTTAAAAAAAAAAAAGCCTGTAAAACAATTAATGAACGTTAACAAAAAGACTTTGAAGGTTAAGAAGCAAAGTCTGAAGTAGTTTTTCCCAGTTTAATCTTTACGCTGGTACATGAAGTTGGAAGAGACCATACCACAGGACAGCGGTTTCTGGTGTACGCCTTGCACTCTGCCCACAACGTGCGACCCCAGAGATAGACGTGGTCAGGGTGACACACGGCCTGCAATGAAGTTCCCGCTGGCGGGTACAAACAAGGTATAATGTCAGAGTTAGAAGACAACATTCTTCTTTACCTTAAGTTGTACCCATTTCAGTACTTTACCTTTGTATTTACTTTAAAAATGTTTGCTTATTTTATTCTTTAGTTCATCTGGCATAAAAAAACCAGATTACACCAATTTAAAGAATTCTGTTTTTACTTAATAGGGAAAAATACTCAAGGTTCGTCTTTAAGTTAAAGCTCTAAAAAAATCCTATGCAATACAAACAATTTACAACAAAAGCTGTTCAACAAGTTAACATTTATAAAACGAGTCCACACAGATTAATTTATCTTTATTAAAAAAGTTTAAATCTTAGGGTTAAAATATCTATACTATTTCATACATACCTGATGCAATTATTAAAAGCCATTAATAAGGCTGGTAGTTATTTTGGTGACTTCCACCTCCTCTAGAAGCCTTGCCATAGGTGCTTTGCTGGCCTGCGGTAAAACGAGATACAAATTACAAAACGGAAGAGATCACCTGTAAGGTTACTTTAGATGGTGAAATACCAGCAATGTAGCGGCGGCAAGTAAACGAAAAAGAAAAAAAAAAAAAAGTTACTGGTAAGTGTTCAAACATGTACACTAAGACACTATGGTTTGCCTTTATAAATGGACCCCTGGTATGCAAACACTTTGTACGGCCATTCGCCTTGCAAATGTATGAACATTAATTTCCTATGCTCCTAAGAGCAATCTAGTAGTATTCAATTAATACATTTGGCTTGAGGAAAAAATAAGATTGAGAATGTTTGTTTTTTGTTATTCACACAATATGAACATTCAGCTGTACATTTAGAAACAATTCCCAGGGACATTTGCCAATGTGAATTGTTTCCAAACACAGCCCCTAGTTTTTTTTTTTTTATCAGGTTTACAAATTTCTGAACTCACCACTGTAGTCTGTGTAACCTGGTTGGCTGTATCCACCATAGTTTCCATAGTTGTAGTTTGAATAGTCGTATCCGCCATAGTTGTTGTAGGAGTCATTTCCATAGCCCCCATATCCTTGATCATAATAGTTATTGTAACCTTGGTTCCAGCTCTGGCCTTGACCTTTAAGTGAAGCATGATAAATCTCAGAGCAGTTCCAGCAACATCAAAAAGGCACTTTGCTTTGTCATCACTGCAATTTTGCTTTAAAATGAAATATTTTAAGTTTTAGATGGAGTAAGCGCTTATGCCTGTGCCCCCTTTGGGGAGATGCATGTCCACCTTCGTAAGCCATTAGCAATATCAAGTTTTCTTCAGTGAAATTCAGTCTGACACCAGGGTCAGATTTTAAAGCAGGCTGTAATAAGATGCCCACCGTGTGTTTCTGTGTAACACAATCACCAACTCTGCCTTTACACACAATACACCATCCAGGGGGGTTGCCACTATGAATACTACTGAACAGGGTTGGAGAGCTCAGTTGTGATTTATACACATTGCTTGTACTGCAGTGGCCATTTCCATGGGGATACGAAGAGGAAAGACAACCCCCCAAAAAAGCAAAACAATCTTGTTTATATATAGCAACTGCCCACTTCATTTACCACTATGTACATTGCTGGCATAGGCTTTTTATTTTTGAATACCTCTGCAAAGGTGGAAATGGGCTGCAAGTCCCTGTCTGGGTGATTTAGAAGGAGGGGAGTTAACAGACGGCAATACCAGAGATTGTTAGCCAATGACTGCCTGGATAATGTTGTTAACTGGCCCAACAAGCACTGGTGTACCAAATACATTCTAGAGTAAAGCATTTAATGGCACCAGAGCAATTGACTACCTGCAGAATAGGCAGCTGTTCAGCAAAAGCTCAAGCATAAAAAAACCTAGAGTAGTTTTCAGGAAGGATGCATTTTACCAACTAAAAAGCAGTAATTTACATCCACGTGTATTCTGTCAGAAGCAGAATTTGTTCCAAGACAGATTCTATTCCCAATCAGAGCAATTGGAGAAATAAGCCCATTTTGGTAGATATTCCAAACCAAGGTTTATACAAATCGGACTATTTTCCTTTATTGCAAACATCCTTTGAAAATGAAAGCCTCTGCACATTAAAAATCCAGACAGGTGCCATCCCTGCTCACCAAGGGTGCTAGTGTCTAGTAGGAATGCCACCTTTTCCTGTAAAAACTGGCCTTATGATCTTTTTCCTACAAAACGGTCAAAGTCCATTTTTAGCAGCCAGGTGACCTATGGAGGCATGTCCCTCCCCTGACCCAACCAGCTGCCAACTCTGCTCACTGAGGGGGAAGTTTGGTGGCAGTGCCGTGTGTCTCTCTACCAACCCAGACAGGTGCTATTCCTGCTTACTGAAGGCGGTGGTATGTCCTAACAATCATGTCTCTCCCCTGCTCTAAAACGAGGAAAAACTCCAAAAGAAAAACAAATTCTAAATTCCTGCAGGTCTCCACTTCTGTCACCATTTGGGAGATCTTTCCTTCCTGTCCTATGCAACTTCTACAAAAGAAATGGGGGGGGG